AGTTGTTCCATATCCAGTTCTAACTGTTGCTTCTTGGCCCTTATACAGGTTTCTCAAGAGACATGTGAGGTGGTCTGGTACTCCCATCTCTTTAAGTACCTGCCATAGTTTGTTGTGATCCACACAGTCAAAAGCTTTAGCATAATCAATGAAGCAGAAGTAGATATTTTTCTGGTGCTTTCTCCATAATCCAGCGAATGTTGGCAATTTGATCTCTAGTTCCTCTACCTTTTCGAAACCCAGCTTGTACTTCTGGTAGTTCTCTATCCACGTACTGTTGAAGCCTAGCTTGTAGGATCTTGAGCATGACCTTGCTAGCATGTGATATGAGTGCAATTGTGTGATAGTTTGAACATTCCTTTGCATTGCCCTTCTTTGGGATTGGAATGTATACTGACCTTTTCCAATCCTGTGGCCACTGTTGCGTTTTCCAAATTTCCTGGCATATTGAGTGCAGCACTTTAACAGCATCATCTTTTAAGACTTTGAATAGCTCAGCTGGGATACCATCACCTCCACTAGCTTTGTTGTTAGTAATGTTTTCTAATGCCCATTTAACTTCACATTCCAGGATGTCTGGCTCGAGGTCAGTGATTATACCGTCGTGGTTGTCAAGGACATCGAGGTCTTTCTTGTATAGTTCTTCTGTGTATTCTTGCCATCGTTTCGTAATCTCTTCTGCTTCTGTTAGGTCCCTACTGTTTTTGTCCTTTATCATAAAATTCCTACAAAGAATTAATTCTGGAATATCAGTTTGCAAGGAAGAAGTGCTGGGGATTGCACTGACCCTGTTGATAAATGTCGTGGCTAGAACATGTGAAGTTTAGTGCCTTGCATCTTGACCCTAGAATCCATTGCTTTCAATAGAATTTACTTTCGAGTAAGTGCTTAGGGTTCAAAGCCTAAACCATTGTCTGTTCCAGGGCTATTTTTGGGCAGGAACGCACAGGAACGGAGTTCTGGCTGGCTCCTGAGTTGGCCACGCCCAGCAGGAGCTCATTAGCATAACAGGCCACACCCAACAGCAGAAACTCATTGGAATTGGCTACATCAGGGGTGTGTGGCCTAACATGCAAAGGAGTTCCTGCTACAAAAAAACCCCCTGGGTTTTGACAACAAACAAGGTAAACAGAATAAGAAGCAAAAGGTGGGTGTGGCTGGATGACCACACTTCTGGTAACATGGGGGTATGGCCTAATATGCTAATGAGCTGTACTATCAGGGGTGTGGCCTAATATGCTAATGAGTCTGCTGTTGGGTATGCCTTATTATGCTAATGAGTTCCTGCTGTTCCAATGGTTTGAGGACTGCATTGCTCCTACTATTCATTGTCTGAACTCCCAGCTGCTGTCGTGCAGTGGCCAGAAGGCCACGACACACAGTTGTCTTCTGAGAGCCACTTTACACTCTTCTTACAGGCACCTGGTAACCAATGTACAGCTCTGTCCTATATATGTTTTCTCAGAAGGGTGCAAAATCTGATGGGGAAAAGACCACCAGCTCCATCATTGTCCAGGTTTGAGAGACCCCATTGATGCCCCCCGGATCTAGGATGGCCTCTTGATTGTCCTGGGTGTCAGATTTCCTGCTGGGCATCTCCAGAGATCCCAGTGGCAGCAGATTCATTTTTCCTGCATGATTTTTTTAACCCAAAGGTCTAGCAGTTTTTCTTTCAAACTTCATCACACTGCACATAGTTTACAGTGAGAGGAATAGGGTGTGAAGGAGTCACACAAATCATACAAGGTACCGGAAAAGTCTTTTTCTTGCTGTATCCATTTTATTGGCAGGTCAGAAATATTATGGCACATTGAGAGACCAAAGACAATTTTTCAAGCCTCTGGTGACATGCTGTTCTTCAAAGAAAAGCGGGGTGGGGGGGGAGGAAAGAGCAGCTACGCTCAGCAGTATGCTCACACCCCATCTCGGCCACGGTAACAGAGGTCCTTTGAAAATGAGTTTATCTTTAAAGTCTGTGTGGGAAAAGAACAAAAAAACACTGAATGTTGTGGAAGGGAAAAACATTGAAAATCCTGCTTACATTTTCTCTGAAAACGCAAACACTGCAGTTTATCACAATAACATTTCCAGAAAGGTGGATAAAATAAGAGTTTTGCTTTATGTAGTGTTTTGTGGGGCAACACACTGAATACAAGATGAACCCATATAATTAGGATTGTGCTTATGAAAAAGGGTCCTACTATATTAAGAAGTGTGGTAGATTTTTTCCACATATCTTCCGTGATACCTACCAGTGGTTATGTTCTCAGTTCTCTTTAATTAGAAAATGAGACACACTGGTTATCTTTGAGCTTGAGTGGTTAAAAACGGTCTGTAGGTGATGTTAAGCAGAGTACTAACAGGAAGTGATTCCAAATTATATTAGTTCTCCTCTTTCCCAGATTCTCTGTATACCTAATGCTGTGTCTGATACAGACTTGGTCCTGTACTTGTCCTTAGTTGGATGGGGAGGCATGGAAACCATAACTTTTGTGAGCAGTTCCCTGCCTTTCAGCATCTAATATTTGCATTCTGGTTTGCATTGAACAGCTCCTCTTTCACGGGCAAAGGCCATCTCTTGGTCCTCCAAAGAGGTCTTAATATTTCACTAATATCCCTTCAGGGTTCTTAGTAAAGGTTAAGTGGTTGAAGAGTGGTGGACTTTTAATCTGGAGAACTGGGTTTGATTCCATACTCCTCCACATGCAGCCAGTGGGTGACCTTGGATCAGTCACAGTTCTCTCAGA